GGGGGGGTGAAGATGTTGACTGTTGTGTTTGTGGGTTCATCCACTGGTGATCGCTGATTATGGTGAGATAAAAAGACAAAGTAAAAAGTAAAGGTTCTTGTTTAGTAGAACGGTTCCTTTACAACACACTGTTTGACTGATCAGCTGTTTCATGTTGTAGCTGGTCCCAGTGTTTCATTGAAATGATTGATAATCACTAATTACTTCATTCATCAAAGCAGGTTTCAGCGTATGATTTGATCTTACTGTTGATTTTGAATTGTTCACATTTTCTAACCTGAGCAGTGAAGAAGGACGTCACTGACACATCAGGTGTGTGTGTGTGTGTGTGTGTGTGTGTGTGTGTGTGTGTGTGTGTGTGTGTGTGTGTGTGTGTGTGTGTGAAATACTCGTCTTCATACCATCTGGGCAAGACAACTAAAAGACGATCGTTGAATCAGTGTGAGATCACGTTTGCTCTGCTTCCTCTAATTAGTGTGTGTGTGTGTGTGTGTGTGTGTGTGTGTGTGTTGGATTTTTTGTCTTTATTGTTGATATTGTACATGTGTTTTCACAGCAAGGTGTTTTTTTTTTCTGTCTTTCTTCCATCGTCAATTTATTTCCTGTCAGTCTGTGGACCTGCATAATGAACCAGGGTGTGTGTTTGTAGGTGTGTGTGTGTGTAGTGTGTGTTTGTAGGTGTGTAGTGTGTGTTTGTAGGTGTGTGTGTTTAAGTCTCACCACACCCATAATTCATGAGCATTAATGTCTATTTATTTATTTTAATATTAATGAGAGGGTCTGTACAGATGAATGGGTGCAACAGACAAAGACGGTGAAATGGTGCTGTGTTAGACTGTGTGTGTGTGTGTGTGTGTGTGTGTGTGTGTGTGTGTGTTTCCTTATTTAATTGGTTCCCTGTTGTGTGCACTTAAACAGGAGTATATGTTGAATGTGAGAGGGGAGAGAGGATGAGAGGAAGCTAAACAAGGACAGACAGATGTGATAATCTGAGTGTCCTTGGGCTATTGTTAGCTGAGCTGTGTGTGTGTGTGTGTGTGTGTGTGTGTGTGTGTGTGTGTGTGTGTGTGTGTCTCCTTGGGGTGATGTGGTGGTGTGAGAGAGTATGTTTGTCAGCCAGGACTGGCAGATAGTGGCTGCCCGTTGGCATGAGGAGGAGGTGTGGGGAGGTGGAGTGACGAAGAGGAGGATGGACAAATGAACAAACTGAGTGAGGGATGAAATGAAGAAAAGAAGAGCAGGAGTAGATTTAGGAACTAGGTGAATTATGACAGAGGAATGTTCAGTTTAAATATGGGATGAAGGAATGACACAAGGATCAGAAACATATTTATTGACAAGATTAAGACAAAAACAGGGAAGTGAAGGTCTCAGTGCAGAGACAATAAAGTCAGAGTCATGAGTCTCATTTGTTTGACAGTTGAAGGAGAAACAGACGACGAGGAGACGAAGGAAAAGATGAATGAAAGGAGGGAATTACATCAGTTCATCAGACCAGCCTGTGTGTGCTTTTACAGCCTGCTCCCTTAGAGTGTGTGTGTGTGTGTGTGTGTGTGTGTGTGTGTGTGTGTGTGTGTGTGTGTGTGGTCATGACTCGCCCTCAGGTGTGTCTGTGTGTGGCTGTGTTTTCACTGTGTGTGTGTGTGTGTGTGTGCGCGCGCATGTGTGTGTGTGTGTGTGTGTGTGTGTGTGTGTGTGTGTGAGTGTCCATGTCTTGTGTGTGTCAGACAACATTTGTGTCCAAACGATGATGAGGAAAGGTGAAAGCTTCTATTGACTTACAACCACAGTAATCATCTTTGTGTGTGTGTGTGTGTGTGTGTGTGTGTGTGTGTGTGTGTGTGTGTGTGTGTGTGTGTGTGCTCTGCCAGTGGGTACTTTGGCATCTAAAAGCAGCACAAACAAAGTGCCAACAGAGACAGTTAGACAATAAAACACAGCAGCCTCGAGGGCAGGGGCACTGATCTGTGTGTGTGTGTGTGTGTGTGTGTGTGTGTGTGTGTGTGTGTGTGTGTGTGTGTGTGTGTGTGTGGAAGAGAGAGAGAGGGAGAAAAGAAGACTGCTTTTTAGAGATTGAATGTGTTTGAAAAATAAAATAAATTATGTTGCATTCATTATTAATGTGTATATATTTGTGTTGTTTATTTGTTGTGTGTGTGTGTGTGTGTGTGTGTGTGTGTGTGTGTGTGTGTGTGTGTGTGGAGCCGTCAGCAGGTTTAAAGTGGGTCCTTATGGAGCTGTGTGTCTTCAGGCTGGTTTCAGACCCGTCTGCTCTGGTTATTTTGAGGCTGCTGGGTGTTTTCAGACGATGTGTCCAAATGTGCTGAAGGAAAGTTAAAAAACCAAAGAGAGACTGAGCGTGTACATGGGTGAATGAATGTGTGTGTGTGTGTGTGTGTTGCGTGGGTGTGTGTTTCTCCTGAGACTCCTCAGACTGGTGCAGGTTTGACTGGCAGCCAGATCTGTGTTTATTGTGGTGTGCAGGGTTGTGTGTTGATTTGTTTCCCTCCCTCTCTGAAGCAGCAGAGTCACAGTCTCTCTGCTCTGAGAGTCTGACGGCTTTCAACTCTCATTCTGATGTTTCGTTCATCCGAGCGATGGTGGACGTTCGTCCTCTCTAACAGTTGCTCTCGGTTCCCCGCTGCTTCGTCTGTCTAATCAAAGACTCATTAACATCCAACACGTCTGATGAATGAAGTTCACTGAGGGAAACCTGCAGCTCTCTGTTCAACATGGAAAAGAACCAGGGCTTAAAAGACGCTGGTGTTAACTATCCTGTGAGGTGACAGACATACATTAACACGGCCTTTGATCAGCCGACTGCATCTCTGAGAGTGTCACCTCCAAATAACTTCTCTGCTGTTCGTTTGTGGAGCCTGATCATTTTTCAGGCAGATAATTATTTTGCTGTAAACACGTCAAAAGTGCTCACAGTCAAAGCCATGCGTGTCTTTGTGGGAGAAAAAAGCTCCTTTACTTCAGCGTCTTTCAGGGTTTCACTCCATAATTATTAAGCTAACTAATTTAACGAGCTAACCTCAACAGTGACTTGTTGAGATTAGCCCTGAGGTTGTTTAATAAGGTAACCTGACACCTCAAAGTAATTAAAACAATTAAAAAGCTAACCCAGCGGTTTTCAGGCTCGGTCAACAGCTTAACTTCAGCCGTTAACTATCTAATTCAACAGTTGTCAAGCTAATTTCAGTGGTTACAGGAGCTATTTGTAAGTTTTGCTAATGCTACATGGCTAACGTTAGCATTAGCAGCTGTTTACTGACCAGTCTAGAAGAAATGTTGTGTTCAGGATCAAACTTCAGTTTAGTATATATTAGTATATGTTTCTATCAGTGGCGGCTGCTGGTCTTATGAGGAGGGGAAGCTCATTTTCGGCCTACATCATAAAATGTGTCCGTTTATTTATATGTAAATTTGCAGAGTGACAGAAGAGAGTCGCCAAACACAACGCTAGTCGTTTTTAACAAAGACAAAGTGGCTGAGGATCAGTAACGTCTCCAGATCAACTCCGAACAACAGAATGAAAAACTTGAAAAATGCTCCAGTGGATGCTTATACTTCAAGATCGCTGATTCGCTCATTTCGCTGTCAATCAAAAAGGGACTCAGCCTCAGACAGATCATCCAATCATCATGCAGAAGCCGAGCGTCCGGGCCAGCCCACTGCCCCATAGACCCCCAGAGACGCTGAGCGTCCGATGGGCGGGACAAAGCCCAGCATTTATCCAATGACCGTCTAGTTTCGCTGCAGTGGAACAACCCACTCTGTGCTTCCCCGTTGAAGTCAGGAGACGCTCGGCGTCTACACTGTGTAAAGCACTGTGGCGCTGCGGGGATGAATGAGAAGGAAGTCGTGGGGCGTCATGGGGCGTCGTGTAGCATAGTGGTCTAAGCAGATGCCCCATGTGTAGAGGCCACAGTCCTCGCTGCAGTCGGCCCTGGTTCGAGTCCCGCATCAGACGGCCTTTGCTGCATGTCATTCCCCCTCTCTCTGCCTCCCCATTTCCTGTCTCTCTACTGCGCTATCAATAAAGGCATAAAGAGCCCTAAAAATATACTTAAAAAAAAAAAAAAAATGAGAAGGAAGTCGTGTCGGTTACCTGTGATAAGCAGCTGATTCTCAACAAAAGATGAACGTGTTCTAGCGCATATTTAGTCAATGAAATGTACACACAACAGCACATACTTGACCACTTATTTTATTGACATTTTAGGGGAAACTGAGCTTCCCTTGCATCTTAGAGCAATCGCCACTGGTTAGTGTGTGTATATATATATATATATGTATTAGTATATGTCAGTACGTCACTATATGTCAGTATATTTTAGTATATATAAGTATATATTTGTATTAGTATATTCTAGTATATTTTAGTATATATTAGTATATATTCATATATAAAGGTTTTATATCAAAGACACTGTTGGTCTCTGAACCTTTTATTAATTTCAGCTCAGCTGGATGAAAAAAAAGGTTTAACTACAGATGTGACATATGCAGATTGAGTCCAGGTCCACGTCTCATGTTTTAATTTGGCAGCAGCAGTGTTTTCTGAGGAGGCAGTGTCTGATACATATTCAGTATCCACTTATTCCAGTACATAATCTAACTTACAGTATGTCATGCCTACAGCCTAATGAGTAAAATATTAAAATCAAGACAATAGTTTGTCTCAGACATAATTTAAATTCAGCAGTAGAAACCTCGGGATCTGGACTGGAATGTAAAACAACATGTTTGTTTGGATGGACTTTCCAATGAGCACGGGGAAATTATGGAAATTATGAAAATTTTTATATTAAATCCTTTGTTAATGAAGTAAATGATGCTGTAAATGTTCACATCTACCTGTAGTTGTGTATTTACATCTATGTAATGATGTGACTTTGATTTAGTTTCTTATTCATACCTTATTTGTTGTTGCAGTTCTTTCTGAGGTTCAATGGAGGTTGAAATAATTTATTGATTTTTATTTTTTTCCCCAGGGGACCGCTGTGAATTTGACCGGCGACAGGGCAGGTGTGTGCCAGGTGTGTGTCGTAATGGAGGGACGTGCCGGGAGCTTTCAGGTGGGGGTTTCCGGTGCGAGTGTCCTGCAGGAGGATATGAGCGTCCATACTGCACCGTCACCGCCCGCTCCTTCCCGCCCAAATCCTTCGTCATGTTCCGGGGCCTCAGACAGAGATTTCACCTCTCCATCTCATTAACGTGAGTCAAATGGAAATTTTATCTCCTTCCTGTCTGTGATTTTCTTTTCTATACATTTCTATATTTGACAATTCAAATGTGCTTTTCTGTTTTTAGTTTTGCTGTTGCCTCTTTCCTTCCTCTCTGTCAGTTTCCATCCCTCTTCATCAAGTCTCTCTCAGACGGATCCATAACCACTCCTCTTTGATTCTCAGAGCTCAGAGTTCCTCTCCTCTTTACTTTAATCAATTTATTTCATCTCTGTCTCAGAGATCGATCCTATTATTCATGGTTCCTCCACCTCTCCACAGAGAGAAGAGCTCTCACTCCTCTCACTCCTCTTTCATCCTTTAATTTACTGGCTTCACTCACATCTCCTTTGCTTCCTGTCTTTCCTCTCTCTCGTCTCATCTCACATCTCATCTCCAGAATTTCTGGTGACCTCATGCTCTCTCTGTGAAGTGGTCTGAACGATTAGCAGCCCAGTCCATGGACAGACTATTAGTCACAGTTAGTGCATTAATGTAAATGAGTTAAAGTTAGTGCATTAATGTAAGCTCACATGAAGTCATTCCTTTGAAACAACCTAACTGAAGCAGAAATGGACAGTTTTAGCTCTAAAGAAGAGGCCTGCTGTCAGAGCCAGAACATTTGAGCTGGAATTAGTTTTATTATTTTTATTTTTGTTTTTTTAAATGTCTGCACTGAACTACATGTAACCCAGAGAGACACGAGACTGAGATCAGATTTACATGTTTTCTTTTTATTGCTTTTGTTTTGTGTGATTGTAGGTTTTGTACCTGGAAGTAAAAGTTAATGTTAAACGTTGATGTTAAACGTTGATGCATTAATGCTGCAGAGGTCAGTGATCGTCTCCTGACTTCAGGTCCTTTGTCTTTGTCTCGCTCTCCCGCCGCCTGAGTGGTCATGTATGGCAGATCTGAAGTGGTCCTTAAGAGTGGTCAGACAGGGTTATGGGATGGTTGCCATGGGTGATGTCGTTTAATGTCAGTTGCTAGGGTGACTTGGCCTCGGGGTTGTTGCTAGGCTGATGTGGCCACCGTGTAGTGGTTGCTATGAGAGACTGCAGCCGTGGTATTCTTGCTAAATGAGCCTCGGTGCTGTGTCGGTATGTCAGGGTACAACATATGATTTGTTCCACTGATTTGTGACCAGCAGCAGAGGAGCGATCGTAAGTCAAGGACTGAAGTGTGACTGAAGAAAGAGGTTCAGTGTGATCGTTTCTCCCCTGGAAGAATCCAGTGAAGGCAAACATCACGTTTGGGGCAACAGCGGAAACCGATGGTTTAAAATCTGCAGCAGTTTGTAGAAACGTGGGCAGTAAAATGTTCTCTCTAATGTTCTCTTTACTGTCAGTAACTAGTGTCGCCGTGTCCTTGAGGAAGACGGGGATGTAGTTGAACAGATAATAGGGACTTTAAGCTGCTGTGGTTGAAGTGACGTCTACGGCGCCCGTTTACATTCCAACACGTTGCCGTAGTGATGGAAATCAAAGATCGCTAAGCAACAATGAACTCTAACAACGGCTACTTGTCTACTTCCGCAACCGAGTCTCTCTGAACATCGATACAGTCTCTTAACGTGACCTGAGCTGTTGATATTTGCTTTAGTGACAGTTTAATATCAGATAAGGCGTTTGTGACTTCAGCACCACGGACAGCATCATGGTGTCATCCACATACAGCACAGCGAGGCCGGAGAGGGAGGGCGGAGCTTAACGACAGTTTGTGATTATAAGGGGTGAACCGGTTAGCCTGGCTCCTCAGCATCCTTAGTGCTGCTCATATACATGTCCATGATTAACCTGGAAACATCAGTCAGATCAGCAGGTGTCTTTAATGAATGTCATTTAACAAAGATATTGTGATTCAGTTGGAACGATCGTTTGTTCATTTTACTTTCACTGAAATAATGTAAAAATGATGATGATGTTATTTCTGTTCCTCTACGTCTGGAGAACATGATCTGTAGGTCGGGGCGTCTCTGTAGCTCCACAACACTGATGGTGCTAACAATGCTAATGCTAACAATGCTAATGCTAACAATGCTCAACAATGTGACACATTTCACCTTCATCAGAGAAACTGCAGCTGCTGAGATCTGGATATTGAACTTAACAAACTGAGATGTTGATTATATTTTATTAACTGTGCAGCTCTACTGATAATCCTTGAATCTACTAACGGTGTGATTGTCAAATGTGACAAAAACATATAATTATCCTCTAACTCTTTAACATAAGGGAGGGTAAACTCGTCTTTCTCCTGTAGTAGACAGTTGAGCTGTGACTATAGGACGTCATCACGCCGTGGTCGTCCCTTCAACCGTCGCTACTGAACGATCCACAGCACATTCACATCTGGGAGCTTCAGCATCACAACTAAACGCTTTTCACTGTCACAGACTTATTTCCAATGTCTGAATAAAGAGTTTGGTTTAAGCTGATTGATCGTTAGTCAGTGCCTTGCTCTTGGGCAGCGTGACACGTGTCATTTAAACCCAGGATCCAGTTCCTGTTGTTGCTGGGTAAAGCTGCTGTCATGTTATCTGATGGTGACTCTAACAGACTGTCAGCCTCCCTCCCCTGACGTCACTGTTTTATTTAGTGTCCTGTTTGCTGCGAGCCTCACTCCTTGGCCTGGTTTCCACATCAGGGCCAAACAGGACTTAATCATTATTCATGTCACTCACTTTCTCCCAGAGCATTTTACTTCTCCACTGCAAAAAATGTTTTTCCTGTTAGTGCCTCACATGTTTGTGTAGCTGTGACTCTGCCGGTGGAGGAGTGAATGATGGGAGTGTGTTTCTGTGTGGAGCTATGACAGAACTGACATGTCTTTACTGCAGAGCTGCATAGACGTATTTTAAACAGGGAAGTTTCCCCTTTCCTCAGCTGAGTTTGAGTCCCCTTCATCTGCTGAGCTGTGGGTTTAAGGAAAATAAATTGTGATGTAGACGTGATTTACCTTCATTAGGTTTATTGCTTTCAGCACAAACACTCGCGTCATATTATTATTTCTGTCATATGCAGTTCTTTCGCTGCAGAAAATACATTTCACAAACAATAAGCACAGTAACAAGAACAGACATATGGAACATGCAACACAAGCTTCATTTACAGCCTCTCTGCTTCACTGACTCCACTCACCCTCTTCATTTTCTCTGGCAAAGCTCAGGTTACATTATTTCCAGCTATTTCTGGCGGCTTGAAGAGATTAGATCTGCACACTGTTGAACTAAAGCAGAGCCATGCAAACAAGACACAGGCCACAACTGAATAACCGCAGGTTTATTCTAGAGAATAATGACACTGTCAGATAACGGGGGGATACAGTCGTCATGATAGAAGTGATGATACCATCTTCTCCTCACTCTGCTGTGTTGCATTAATGCATCTAACCTTACAGCCACATTGATCTCTGCTGGAGGTTCAAGCCAAGAATGTAAATGCAGATACAAAACAGGAATGAGTAGAAACATTTTTCTTCAAGGACTCAGATATAAGCCACTAGTTCAGAAAGCAGCAAGCAAAGCATTTTAAACCCTCAGCTCCAGAGCTGCTCTGAACCCCACCTCCAACATCTGTACACTTATTTATCTAGTGGGGGGGGGGTTACAGTTTTGATTAAGTGCATACATGAGATATTTATATCCTCAATATTAGAGCTCACAATTAATGGGAATTATATGATAATTATAAGACCAACTGTCTACTACAGGAGAAAGACGAGTTTACCCTCCGTTATGTTAAAGAGTTAGAGGATAATTATATGTTTTTGTCACATTTGACAATCACACCGTTAGTAGATTCAAGGATTATCAGTAGAGCTGCACAATTAATAAAATATAATTGAAATCTCAGTTTGTTAAGTTCAATATCCAGATCTCAGCAGCTGCAGTTTCTCTGATGAAGGTGAAATGTGTCACATTGTTGAGCGTTGTTAGCATTAATATTGTTAGCATTAGCATTGTTAGCACCATCAGTGTTGTGGAGCTACAGAGACGCCCCGACCTACAGATCATGTTCTCCAGACGTAGAGGAAAAAAAATCACGTGATTCAGTGAAAATGCAAAAACAATCAGTGACACTGAAATCACAATATCTGCCAAAATAATCACATGAATTTTTTTTTTGCTTATTGTGCAGCTGTATCTCTTGTTTATCTCGTCTTTCGGTTTTTAAAGTTGTTTTATTTGTTTTTAAAGCTCTTCATGGTTTGGGACCGGCCTCCTTCACGAGCTCTCAGATCGTCTGCTGCTGAGCTTTTACTCGTTATTTTTTACTCGTTAAAATAGACAGAGCAGCTTTTTAACTTTCCTCCAAAACTGCTGCACAGCCAACATTTTTAAACTACAGCTGTTTGTTTAACTTGACTTTTGATTAATTCCCTCATATTTTACTATTCTTACTGTTTTCTGTTTTTATTTTCATTTACATATTTTATCATCTAATGTTTTTCTATTGCCTATTTTCGTTGTCCTTCAATCTGCCCTCATTCTATTGAACTATTTGATTTTTTTTTCATTGTCAAGATAAGAGCTGCATCTCTTTTATGAAAAGTGCTCTATAAATAAACTTATTATTATTGTTAATATTAAATGTGTAAGAATCAGTGATTATTGACCTTGAATTGCTCATTTCAGTAACACAGATTTCATCTCTGTGTTACTCTCCTTCAGTCAGCTGATCTTTTCCAAGTTGGTTTTATTTTGAAAACAGGATGTAAATACTTTTTAAAGTGGACGTTCAGTTCAGTGGGGATCTGATCTGTGTGTCTCTTGCCAGGAGAGAAGATTTGTCATCTGTGCTGTAGAATCCAAAAAACTAACAGTGCTTTTGATCAGGCTGTGTAAACACTCAGCCCCCCCCCCCCTCCCCCGGCCCTGCCATAGAAAATAGAGTAATTATATTATAATTATGAACATAAATATATATTTGTATTTATAAATATATATAAATGCATTATAATTGCATGACTCTGAGCAGCTGGAGGGAGAGGAAGGCTGCAGCAGCATTTATTGACTGTGGCACAGTTTTAAAAGCTTCTGCTCCTCCATGTTAACACTAGGAGTCAGGTTCAGTCTCTGTGTGACATCAGGCCTCGCGGTGTCGGGCTTCCATGTTCTATTTACCACATTAAAAAATAAATGAAAAAGTTATTTGTATATTTCATGAAAAATATCCAGTTGACATATAATTCTCATGTTGCATACAGAATATTTATCGATCAGCGTATTATGGAGGATGTTTTGTGTGTTCTAGTTTTGCCACCCTGGAGAACAGTGGTCTGCTCTTCTACAACGGACGCTTCAACGAGAAACACGACTTCATCGCCCTGGAGATCCAAGAAGGACAAGTGGTTCTGAAGTACTCCACAGGTACTGACTCTGAGTCTGTGCACTGTGCTCAGGTGTTCTGTATTTATAAAGGACCTATAGATTGTTTGGAGTACTCATGTTCATTATGATCACTATAAATCCCAGTCTATGAACCAAACATATAAAAACATGAAGCTACTAATTAACTCTCTAAGCACAGAGGATGTGGTTATATGTTCATGTTCATGTGTGTGTGTGTGTTTCATGCACAGGTGAAGCTGAAATGAGAGAGATGAGTTTCGTCATTATACAGTTAATATTTTATTTACAGTAAAAACAAATAAAAAGTCACCTCAAGCAATGATAAATCGATCAGATAAACGTCTGTTACCTGCTGATGTGCTGACACTACCTTGATCCCTGCAGGTGAATCTTCCACCCAGGTGAGTCCCTTCCTGCCTGGTGGTGTGAGCGATGGAAACTGGCACACAGTTCACATCCACTATTACAACAAGGTGGGTTTAACATGTCAGTCTGCTGCTGTGTCCTGGAACATGTGGAGTGTTGATCTTACCTTTGATCGTACATGTTGTGCTCCTGACGTCTGTTTGATACTTGAGTCATCCTCTGAAGTTTCTGTTGTGATAGTAGTTTTTACTTGTGATGCGACGGCAGATCAGTTTCTCCTCCTTCACACTGACGGAGCACTTTGAATTAATCCGAGGTGTTTGAGGTGTTTGAGGTGTTTGTGTGCTCGTGCTGCTCTGTGGGCGTTTGCTTGTCACCATTTTATTCATGCATCTTCGTCGCACATCTCCTTTAATTTTCTTCATGTTCTTTCATTTTCCTCAGCCAGCTACACGCTATGTGAGTATGAGTGTGTGTCAGGGTGCACATACACTTCCTCCTCTCCTCCACTGTCTTTCCCTTCCTCCTTTCTTTTTCACCAGCAGACAGTAAGTGACGAGTGACTGTGGTGTCTTTCCCATATACAGTGTCTGTTGTTTCTTGTCTTACTAACTCAGTTTCCCTCTTTTCTTTCTAACATGATGAGACTATAGTCTGAGGCTACGTCCACACCCACGTTTTCCTTTTAAAACAATCTTCTTCCTACGTTTCTCCTCCGTTCACACTGTTGGAAACTCTGCTGACCCTGTTTTATTTTGAAAACTCTGTCCCTGTTGTTGCCCGTACAGACAATCTACTTCCTGTTTACACCAGCGGAGATTGTTTTAGTTTGAAAACGGCGTTTTAAAATGAAAAGGTGGTGGTGTGGACGCAGCCTGATGTGTGGAGTTGATGTGGTGATGCTGGTTTAAACTCTGGCTGTAGAGAAAGCTGCTGGATCTCCTGCATGTTGCTGGTGTCATGGTCTTTTCTTGTTTTCTGTTCCTTTCGACTCTGTATTCAATCTTTGTGTGTGTGTGTGTGTGTGTGTGTGTGTGTGTGTGTGTGTGTGTGTGTGTGTGTGCGCGCAGCCTAAGCGCAGTATGAGTGGCGAGGCCCAGGGTCCGTCGGATGAGAAGATCGCTGTGGTGAGCGTTGACGACTGTGACACAGCCTTGTCGCTTCGCTTCGGGACACAGCTGGGAAACTACAGCTGTGCAGCTCAGGGAAAACAGACCAGCAGCAAGAAGTGAGTCCATCTTCCTTTTGTGTTTTCTTTACAGTGGTGATCTGAAGCTCCACACGTCTGTGAGATGGTTACAGGAAAAATCATCTGCTGCTCGCTGCCCACCATGTTGGACATGACACACAACATACACGTAGTGCATTTGTCATATTACGTGTTTATGATGAAACTGACCTTCCAGTTTGTTGTGGTGGAGCTTTAGTGCTCCAGTTATTATAAGAGCTGGACTCAGACATCGATCCAGTGCGATGTGATTTTAATCTGTGAAGCTTTGAACCGAATGACTCGTTTCCCGATGACATCATGAATCAATTAACTCTACATGAATTAACCACGATGTCAACGATCGTGGGTTGAACACCATCTTACTTTTCAGGTCATTATCTCCTCTTGTTTGTTGCTGTTGATGGTTTCATGTCCTGTAGAAGTCGTATTATTCTTCCATGATTCATTCATCAACATGGCGTCAGATCCAGAACGCCGTTCACTCGATCTCATACCCCAGAGGCATGATGGGAGTACCACTGATGCACATATTCAATGGGCCGCATAAAGCGGAAGTAACCCGGAGGCCAGAACCATTTTTGGCGTATACACCAGGCGAGCAATTCGTATAGGATTGAATGGGCTCCATTTTTAGATCCAGCGTCCTGTTGTAATAACATCCATGGTTTCGTTTGGCGCTCAGAGCTTTAGTGACAGGAAGTAAGTTCTAAAAGTTTACCAGAGAATTTCCCTGAGCTTCCTGTCGCCTCGTAGCAGAAGAAGAGAGCTGTTTAACATGTACTTGATTTTAGAATTAATCCCTCAGTTTCATTTCTGACATTGATGATCATCAAGAGTAAATTTATTGCACGAATCTCCGTCACCTCCAGCGCAGCAGCCGAGCGGCTCTGAGCGGTCACCGACCCTGAGCTGTTTACACAGGATGAGCAAACGTCTCTCCAAAGACAAGTTTCATTAAACATCATCTGTGACTGATCAGAGGCTGAACACAGAATCAAATATCACTAAGCAGAAAACCAATAAGGCCTCTGAGTGCTGAGCAGCTCAGAGGAACCAGCTGCTGGTACGAAGCTCTGAGGTCACAGGTGAGAGAAGGTAGATCATGAGTAGGGACTGTCTGTAATTATAATGGACGTGTTTCCTGTTTACAGATGACAATAAAACACTGTGTCTGTCATTATAGTTTATATATGGACTCAGCATTCAGAAATAACTCTAGCTTATTGCAACAGTTTCAACACAGCCAGTGCACATCATAGATATAATAAACATGAACCATTTACATACAGTAGATTCCATCATAGTGAGTTACAGTGTGTTACAAAGAGTCCATCAGTATTTTTTAATTGGAATAACAACTGACAAATCAGCTGACGGGACAAATGACCTCAAATATCTGTTTGATTCGGCTCCTAGGGAAAGTATATTATTATTATTATTACGATTATTATTATTACAATTATTATTATTATTATTATTATTAGGATGATGATTATAATTATTAGTATTATTATCATGATTATTATTATTATTATTAAATGATCACATTGCTTTTTAGAGCTACATTCATGAGAAGCTCTCAGCCGTTTAGTTTTTTTCCCCACATGATAATATAGAATAATATAGTATTATATAGTATGATATAATATAGTATAGTAAAATATGATATATTATAATATAGTATAATATAATATAATATAATATAGTATAGTAAAATATAATATTGTATAATATAATATAATGAGCTGGGCTGGTGGAAAAAAGTGTTTCAATAATAAAAAGTAAGAGAAGGAGACACGAGGAAACAGAAAATCTAAAATCCAAAACAGTGCGACATGAGACATTAGGGCGGGGCAGACAAAGACAGGAAGTAAAAACAACAATCTACTTCAAAATAAAACAGGAAATAAACCAAAGGGGTAAAAGTTGAAAACAGTGGAACCAGGGCAGATCATGACAACAACTGTGTAAATAAATAAATGTGAACATGGAGCAAGGAGAAAGATCTGATCAGACTTTAGTGTGTTTCAGTGTGTTTGAGCCTTTCTGCAGTTTGATCAGTTTAATCTGTTAAAACCTGAGACTGCTGTCGGGTGATGAGGTCACTGTGGAGGGAAGTCTGTGGGGACCTGAGGCTCTAATGAGGCTCGAATGTTTGACATCTTCTTTATTACGTCTGCCTGCATCTCTTTGATGGGCTCGTTAGTCTCTGGTGTTAACGTTCATCTCTTTTCATCCCTCTCTCTCCCTCTCTCTCCCTCTCTCTCTCTCTCTGTCGTCTCTTTCTCTCCCTCTCTCTCTCCTCTCTCTCTCTCTCTCTCTCTCTCTCGGAATCACCCTCTCTTCAGTGTCTCTCTCTTCCATCTCTCTCATTCCTTCTCTTCTCTCTCTCTGTCTTCCTCTTCTCTCTCTCTCTCTCTCAATATCCAGTTATCGTACTCCTCTCTCTCTCTCCCTTCTCTCTCTCTCGCTCCCCTCTCTCTTGTCTCTCCTCTCCCTCTCTCCTCTTTTCTCTCCCTCTCTCTCTGTCCTCTCTTCTCTCTCTACTCTCTCTCCTGTCTCTCTCTCCTGTCTCTCTCTCCCTCTCTCTCCTAACCTCTCTTCCCTCTCTCCTCTCTCCCTCTCTCTCTCCCTCTCTTATGTCTCTCACTCATTTTATTACATTACGACAGTTTTTAAATCCTCTGCGTTGCTTTTCAGTGTGTGTTTGTGTTCGACCTTGTGAGTCTCTGGAGTTCACTCTGCTCCACGAACCTGAATGTCTATACCACAAGTGCTCGACACACACGCAGCACACACACACACACACACACACACACGCACACACACACACACACACACACGCACACACACTGAAGGCAGCCTGTCATGGTGCTGATGTGTGAGCTGTGTTGTGTCAGCGCTAAGTGAAGCTGAAAGAAGAGGAGAAGGATCAAAGAGGAAGGCCAAAGACGCTTCAACACTCTTCTTCTTCTTCTTCTTCTGTTCCTCCTCCATTAGCAGCTCAACCTCCTCTCTCTCTCTCTCTCTCTCTCTCTCTCCGTCTCCACATCCTCCTCTAATGACGCTCTCTGTTGATATTTGCTGTAACTCACTTAATCTCTTGTTTGTTTGACTCGAGCGCCTTTTGTCTCTTTAGCTTCCTTCAGTTCGTATTCCTCTGGCGTTTATTGGCTCCACACACAAAAACGAAAAACCTCAACTCGCACTGGGGGGAAAAAAAGAAAAGATAATACTGACAGTTTCTGTGTTCGTCTTTTCCCGCTCTTACAGTCCCATAGCTGTTATTTTCTGTCTCCTACATCTTCCTCATATTCCCTGTTTTCCCGTCTCTGTACTCGTCTTCCATCTGTCTTGTCATCCGCCTTTACGCTCTCTCTTGATATTTGCTGTAACTCATAGTTAATCTCTTGTTTGTTCATCTGCCTCCACATCTCCCTTTTCCTGTCGCTGTTTTTTTCTCCTCTGCTATTTGTTGACGTCCCCTAACATCCACCTCCTCTCGCTGCTTCTCCCTCCGTCTTGTCATCCACCTTCACCTCCTCTCCCCTGATATCTGCCGTAACTCCTATTTAATCTGTTTATTCATCTGTGTCTCCGTCTGTCTCCTCTTCTCTCTCATCTTTTCAATTTCTCTTTTCTCCTGCTGTTTCTGGTTTTACCCTCAACATCATCATCATCATCATCATCATCATCATCATCATCATCATCATCTTGTTTCCTGTCAACACCCACTATTATACTCTGATTCTTGTTCCTCTTGACATTTACCCCTGATGACACATTTAATCTCTGGGTCTGTTTAATCCCTTTGCCTCTCTCATTTCCTCTTTTCATGTTTTTCCTTTCCTCTCTTCCTCCCTCCTCCCCTCCGTCACTGAGGGATAATCCTCCACTCCTTCCTTATTCCCTTATTCCCTCCTCTTCCTCCTTATCTCCTGCTCCCTCAGGTCTCTGGACCTGACTGGTCCATTGTTTCTGGGCGGAGTTCCCAACGTACCAGACAACTTCCCGTTTGGCACCAGGGAATTTATCGGCTGCATGAAGGAGCTGCACATCGACAGCAAGCCGCTGGACTTGGCCGGATTCATCGCGAACAATGGAACAATTCCCGGTCAGCGCACAGAAACACATGAACTATCAAATAAACAGATACAAATGAATGTAATTAATGGAAACATCTCTGAGTGTCCTGTAAACCAATTATTCACTTCCCAAAAGCTGTAGTAAACATTAAAGCAGGTTCTTCAGGTGAATAGACCTGAAATTTGATTTTCACTGATGAAGGTTCAACAGAGTTCTGCAGGAATGATCCTAAAACCAGGAAATCATTTATCGTGTTGTCACTTCCTGTTCCCTGGTCCTGAAGTCTCTGGTTTGTTGAATGTGTTTTGGTTGATGACTGAAATCAGGTCTGTGTTCAACACGAGCTCAAGACATTTTCACCTTTTATTCTCCAACATAAAATCAGTCAGTAAATACTCCAGTCCTGATTCCTGAAGCTTTCACGTCTCTGTTGCTAATGAGTGTTTAAACGAGACACAGAGGTTGTCAGGGACGTTAAACGTCACGTTGAACATGAAAACTGATCTCTTCACCAGCCCACCTTTACAGCCTGGTTAACTCACCAGTCCACCTTTACAGCCTGGTTAACTCACCAGTCCACCTTTACAGCCTGGTTAACTCACCAGCCCACCTTTACAGCCTGGTTAACTCACCAGTCCACCTTTACAGCCTGGTTAACTCACCAGTCCACCTTTACAGCCTGGTTGTGTTCTTCTGTCAGAGGAAAGGCTTCAGTAGAAGAGTTTAAGTTGAGGTTTAGTGGTGGAGACGTTAAGGTCACGTGACTGGTGTTGAAGTCATGTGACTGTGGTGGTGAGGTCATGTGACCGTGGTGTAGCTGGTTTATAGCCTAACATTAGCTTTTTACTTCTGACTGTATTGAGGCTTCAAACATCCGAGATGTTCGTTAGTGAAGATGATCCTGCTGAACTAAACCTGTCAGGATCAGAAACTGTTGTTTGTAAAAATCCCATTGGCTGTTTGTGGAGGGAAGCAGGGGGGTGATAGCTTCAGGCTCTAAACATACATCATCATCTGAATATCAGAAGTAATTCACTGATCAAAGTGTAAGCAGACATGTCGGTGACATCGGCGATGATGTAACTCTCTGTCTTGCTTCTCATAGGCTGCAGTGCCAAGCTGCCCTTCTGTAAGTCCAGCCCCTGTCAGAACGGAGGAACCTGCAGGGTGAGCTGGGAGACGTTCTCCTGTGACTGCCCCCTGGGGTACGGAGGGAAGGACTGCAGCCATGGTGAGAGGTTTATCTTCCTCCTGTGGTCCGACGGCTCATGTCTCATTTTATCAATGATTATCAATGAGGAGAGACCGCGGCTCAGATAATTGGCAGTTTGAGAGTGGTCGTGTTTTTAAAAATACAGCATCAGCGGCCTTTATTTGATTCCAGTAATTAAGCTCCTAATTAATGAGTGAATCATTTAGAGATGTTAAAATGCTCCAGGTAACACCTTTAAACTGAAACAGTTCTTATTTACACAGCAGATTAATTACAGGAATAAGACACAGCTCTTTTAATGAACTCAGACTCACAAATGCTCTGTTGTTCATTCATTCAGGTTATTTCAGGATTTTCCCGCCGTTCTAGTCCAGTCCTCATTTTGTGTTTAACCCTGTGCTGTATGAGCGGACGGCATGTCAGTGACGGAGAGCTGAGTGAATGAGTGTTGATCTGTTTTAACGAATCAACACAAGCAAAAAGAGGAAACAGATAATTCAGGAAACTGCAGCGTTGCTACAGTTAGCATGTGAGCTAGCTGTTTGTTTCCTGTGTGTAATTGGACCCAGATAAAGTGACAAGTGACGAGATGACATTTTTATCTTGATGTTCAGACCTCCGGGGAAATCAGAGCAAATTCAGTTGTGATTTTAAGATGAAAATCTGTTTTCTAACAGCATCGTCATCATCAGGGAGGAAAGTAAATTAAAAACAGGATGTGACGTGTGCAGCACGTCTTCTTTAAACTCTTTAAATCAGCAGCTGTCTCGTCTATCAGCTGTTGTGCTTCCTTTATTAATAAATATTACATCTTTATAATTATTACTTAAGTTTTTACTTGGTTTCTCTTTAGTCTTTTTATAAGCTCAGAAACAAAAACACAAAAATACTGTTTAAAGCAAATTTAATGAACGTGTCACCGTCTTTGTCACAATGAACCGCTCACAGCATCAGAGCCTGACGAGTCTCTATCATCAGATCATCCATCATTCATTTCTTATTCAGCAACAAAGAAACTCTAAATCTGGTGTTTTGTCTCAGAATCAAAAAACAAAAACTAAATTCACGTTCAGAAAGAGGAAGTGAAGTGTAAAACATTCAAAATAAAAGCCAACAGGACATAAAAGTGTAACATTAAGCTGGCAAAGGATCAATACCAGGGTAATGATAGAAGATTCATAAATGAATGAATGAATGAATGAATGATTACATTAAAAGTACAAAACAATAAATTATTACTTTTTACATTCAGTCATTCATTCATTCATTCATTCATCTTTCTAACGTTACTCTGGTGTAGATCGGTTGCTTGCTAAATGTTACACATTTATGTCCTGTTGGCTTTTATTTTGAATGTTTTAAACTTCACTTCCTCTTTCTGAATGTGAATTTGTCTTTGGTTTAGAATTAAAAAGTCAAATAAAACCATGTTAATTCGGTTTCTGGTTTCAAACTAAATAATAATAGAAAAAATTTGAAAAAAAACAAAAAAGGATCATTTTGATTGTTTTTTTATTTTTTTGATTCTGACACTAAAAACGTTTTTTTCCATTTTGGTTTTGAAACAAAACGATGATCCCAGACTCTGATCAATAACGGTGACTTTTCTTTTTATTCACCCTCGCTCTCTCACCCTCCACCTCAGTGATGCCACACCCCCACCGCTTCCTGGGAAACAGCGCCCTCTGGTGGGACCTGAAGAACGACGTGACCATCTCCACGCCCTGGTACCTGGGCCTGGTGTTCAGAACCAGAGCACGAGAGGGGACGCTGCTGCAGGCTCAGGCCGGCCAGTACACCAGCCTGCTGTTCCAGGTGTGAACACACACTCTCCCCCTCTCTCTCTCCCCCTCTCTCTCTCCCCCTCTCTCTCTCTCTCTCTCTCCCAGTCTCTCCCCCCCTCTCTCTCTCTCTCTCTCTCCCCCTCTCTCT